CTATACTATACTATACTATACTATACTATACTATACTATACTATACTATACTATACTATACTATACTAATACTATACTGCAAAGGGATCCATTAAAAAAACCTTGTTGTAATTCTAGAAGATATATATGCCATATCTCCAGAAATATTTACAGGGAATCCTCAATTATTGTTGTATATTGTGACAATCGTAAAGTGGGTCACTATGTGACTGGATCCATTTTATAGCTTTTTGCAGTGGTCATTAAATACTGCAATAATTATGTAAGCCCATTGTTTGCTATGGGGCAGGTTTTGCCTATATCCAGAAGTAAATGCTGGTTTTTGGCAAAAATGCCCTAAGTTGGACACATGATGATAAGGCACTGCAAACAGCTATAAATGCAGAATGGTTATCCAAATAAGTAGTCAGATGACTGCAGGGGGAGGGACATGAGTGTTTTGTAGATCATCTATGTCAAAATTGAACAGCCCTCTCTCAACAGAGGGAGAGAAATACAACATCATCTATCTCCAGTCTACAACACAGTCCTTTCAACAGTTCCAAGAAGACCCTACACCCATTTGCACCACTCAGGTGAACCTGATGACACAGATAAACTTCCAGGTGGACTTAACAGCTCAGTAAAAACATGCAAATGACCATCTGTCTGCAAGGAGTATAAATCCTTCTATTCCCCACCATCCAGTCAGAAGTGAAGAATCTTCTTGGATAAGAAGCAAAACATCTTCAAAGAAAAACCAGAAAGTCCAGTTGCCTCTTGAAAAAGCACCTTTGGGACATTCTCATTTTTCCCAATGTTTTGTGTATATCTGTCTTTCTCAACTTGAGGCTCATTGGCTTTTATCATTTTCCAGTCATCAAATACTGCATTAAATACTGTAGGGCAGTAGCCCCCAACCTTTTTTGTGCCGCAGCCCGGTACCGGCATCACAAAATCATCCACGGCCTGGTACCGGCATCAGCATGCATGGCAAGGCGAGCCGAGCGACCAGCCAGCCAGCCAGCCAGCTGTCCCCCGCTTCTCCCCGCCACCTTCAACTCCTCCTTTGTACCTATGTCGATCAGCTTCGCGGCGGCTTCGGGACGGTCGCTCGGCTCACCTTGCCATGTGTGCTGAAAGAATCCTCGCGCCTTAGTTTTGTTTGAAGCCGCCCCCCCTTGATAAAACTAAGGCGCGAGGATTCTTTCAGCACCCAAACGCCGCTTTCTACCCAGAAAAGCTCACCAGAAGCACTTTTTCATCAAAACAGGATGGCGGCGCCCAGCAAACCGGCGGCCTGGTAGAAATTGTTCCATGAACCGGTACCGGTCCAGGGACCGGTGGTTGGGGACCCCTGCTGTAGGGCATCAGGATGGGAATGTTGCATTCAACTAAAAGCCTAGTTCTCATATCATTCTTAACTCAGTAAACCACTAACTCAGCCATAGTTCTAACATGCTTCTCTCAACATTGATCTAATTGCAAGTCATGTTGGGTAGAGCATATCCGAATACCAGTATTGAAAAAGCATTTACAGGGCAGAAATCTGGATTAAAAGGTAAGAAAATGTGCAGCTGAGTAACGTCAGAAATCTCTGCATTTCTTTACCCTCTAATCTTAAGCTTGGCTATTCAGCACTTTTTTCTTTTTAAGAATCAAAGCTGCAATGATTACAGAGCTATAATTTTGTTTGGGCGGTGGGCTATCTTGTCAGATCAGCTGATCATCAGTTCTATTTTATGAGGGATAATTATGAATTTCAATAGCATACGACATAAACTATTTCCTTCCTTGGAAATAGTTAAGGAGGAAGGTAATAATTATTTTCTGCTTTTAACTGTGTAAGCCTGCAATCATTTCTTATTGAGGCTGTGAATATATAAGACCCATATCTTGTTGGATCAGACTGAAGTCTGTTTAGTAGTGCATCATCCTATTTCTGAAAAGGTTTAGAATTTTACCCGTATTTCCTCATAAGAGGAAGCCAGGTCACATTGGAAGCCTCTTAAGGATCCCTATGTAGGGATTGTGATCATTTATAGCCTCAGGCAATCTCAGTTGTGGAACATAGAAGTTTTATGTCCATGACTTGGTGTTACCTTTGATTCTTAACAGGTTAGCATTCCCCAGACAAAGGTGATGTACAGTTTGGGGCTCCCCCTGTTCTCATTGCTCTTGTGGCTTAAGAGGCCTTTGTACACAAATGATGTTATTTGTATTGAATATAAAACCAGACACATCACTGGAAACTAAAATCATAAGGCTCGTCCGATTTACTTTGCACCTGTTACGCATGTGAATTCATTGGTGAAGGCAATGATGTTAGGAATGGTTAGTGGATAAAGAAGAGTCAAGCAAGAAACACGCTGAGGTGCTCTCTGAGCTTGTTTGTTTTCTTACAGATGTTTCAAAATAGGTAACCTCATCAGTGGCTTGACAACGTCAAATCTGATGCAAATTTGAATAAAAAACAACTAAAAGAAGCTGTGCTTGACTGGGTAGCATAGCGCAGAGGTCTCCAACCTTGACCACTTTAAGACCTGTGGATTTCAACTCCTAGCCTTGCTGGCTGAGGAACTCTAGGAGTTGAAGTCCACAAGTCTTAAAGTGGCCAAGGTTGGAGACTCTTGGCATAGAGAGCACGTCTCTGTAAAGTCACCAGGAGTCGGACATGACTAAGTGTCAAAAACAACAGCATGTTGTAAATGGAGTATAATTTTTCTTAATTTGGTGACTGCCAAATGTGTTGGACTTCAATTCCAATAGGCCCTGCACACATCTTGATGGTGTCATGTGGGAGAAACTGTAACAGAATATAGTTTTTGTGTCTAGGTTGGGTTTCATGTGTAAGTCTCAGAAGAGTCAAAATATGAACTACTTTTGGTGTGGCAGGTCACTTTTCCTTTTCCCTTTTACAGTTGGCCATGGGCAAAGTGAAGGAGACCGTATGGTTGTGTCAGACTTTCACGTGTTTGTCAGAGACAGCTTGCAGCACATAGATCTCATGAAGAAGGATCATCCAGGCATTCCTGTGTTTCTTCTGGGGCACTCTATGGTAAGAACATTATCCTTCCTCATGGAGCCTTGGCCTCCTATAGAGCAGCAGACGCTGTTTATTTTGGGTTAGGTTTCTGAAGTCTAACAATTAATACTGGTGCCAGGAGGCTTTTAATTTTTATTATTATAGCCTTTTCTGTTTTCTTTCTCTGTTTCCTCTCCATTCCCTCTTTTTGTTTCTATTTTTCTTTTATTTTCACAAAAAGCAGTGGCTATGTTATTGGAGTTGTTTGTAAACAGCTGCCCATCTAAATGTGAACTGCACAGTTCCTAGTTCTAATGTGAAATTACAGATTTACACACCATTCCCAGGGCTTATTTCCAATATTGAAGAGTTATGAAGCTGGAATTTCTAGAAACGCAAATGGAAAAATAACTTTTTTTTTTGCCAAAAAGCAATAGTGTGAAATGAATGTATGTATATATGAGAAAGATAAAAGACAAAATGTTTTAGAGATTTTGTTGTGCGCTAATGGACTTTACATGAATTATTCTCATAATTTTTATACAAAGTCATAAACAAGTGAAGAGTTTGTTTGTTTTTTCCCGACAGATAAACACAAGGATAGATAGATGATTGGATGGATGGATGGATGGATGGATAGGCAGGCAGCAGGCAGGCAGGCAAGCAAGCAGGCAGATCCCTTTATTCATGTTGGTTAAAATGTTTCTAAATCAATTAAGGACCATATTCATTTAAAGAGTGGGTTTCCCCGTTTTCTGAGATTCTCAAGTGTTGTTAAAGGGAAGGATGAATATGCCAATGGTACACATTTTTGCAGTGAGAAGAAAGGGAAAGGTAAGGAAATGTGCAAAATAAAAGCAAACATGAACTTCTGGGTTGGGGTCCACAACTCAGCTTTCCAATTCTACAGGCCACAGAAAACCTTTTGATGATGAAATAAAGTCACAAAGCAGGGCCCAAAGTTCCAGTTCAGGGAGGCTGGTTGGATGAGAAAATGGGTATTTTGCATTTTGTGGCTTTATATTCCCATTAGGGGATAAAGTGACAAATGGCATAATGATGCTGGACCTGCCGGCCAAAAGAGATGAAAGAATAGGTGGACAGTTCAACAAGGATAATGCCCAGAGATATATCAAGAACTATGGTGGATATTGAACAAGCTTGTGATACAGGAATGGATATATCATGACTTATCAACTCGGAATCATTTTAATACAAGAATAAACCATGTAAAATAAAAGGTATCCCCAAAGTTATGTTATGGTTTACTCATAATACATGTAATATTCTATGATGTAGACTTTGTGCTGCCTTAGACTATAATTTTTATTTTTACTACAAAGGATGTACAACCCCAATCATAGTTTGTTCTGGAAGTTTTAAGCTAGCTAATAAAGGTTAAGGTTCAGGGATGAAAATGCAAAAGGTTGCATGTGTGAGTCGATTGTCATTTACTTCAGAGGAATGGTTTATCATATCTGAATTTTATTACTGTTGTAAAATGTATCAGTGATGGCTTGTATTCTGGAGATACATGTATGTGTATTCATATCTTGTTCTATTTGTTTTAGTTATCAGCAGAATCCGATTTTTGGAAGGCAAAAAATTCCCATTGAAAGCTAGGCAAGAAATTGCTATAATCTACTTTACATACATATACAAACACATACACACAAAGACATTTTTTTTTCTTGTATACAACCAAGGCATTAGCTGTCACTATATCCCATTGTAACATGCATTACATGTTACACTGTAGAAAATTACATTGTCTAGTACTTTTTAAAAAATTATAGCATATAAAATGCATTTTTGTTAAATTAGAAGAAAGTTGTACAACCATTTGAGACATTAATTCTGTAATTCTAAACCTTACTCTATTTTTGCTTTGAATTCATATCTAGATCAAAGTGGAAATTCCTGTTAATGCTCAGATCATCTTGCTTTTAGTTAGTTCAGTTAATCATTCCAGTTCCGATATGCTTCTTTAAGAAATTTCCTTCTTTTCAAAAACTTACTCTAGGTTTATAAAAAAAGCACTGAATAATAGCAATGGGGACTAGCATGAAAAAGTAAACTTTTTTTCTGAGAATCTTTAAAGAAATCTCAAAACAAAAAAAGTGGCCTTTGAAATAAAGTTAAGGCTACCATAGCCATCTCTATTAAGTTAACAAGATGATGTCTGATTTGAAGTTCATGGTAAACCTTTAAAACAAAGAAATGGTAGCATAAGCTGAAATTGAAGTTACCCAAATAGTCCTCATATTCATATAAACACAAACATGATTTATTCCTGCAAGTAAAAAAAATGATGTATCTTTAATACAGTTCTCCAAGAATTTCCCATGGCAACTACTTGCGAATCATACTGAACTCTCCTGCTTACTGAGGTTGAGATACATACTTTTGGCTTGAAGAGGGAGCATTTTAGCTTGCAGTCCCAAACTGGCTTGGCATTCAGTTATTTTTTAATGACTATGCCAAATAATAATCAATAAATCCCTCCAAAACTGGAACAATCAGTCCAGTTTTAAGAGATATAAGTCAAGATTTATAAGAGATGAAAGTTATGCCTTCAAACTTCTTTGTTTCTTACATCTAACCATATTATCCAAAACTTTTTAAAAATGGCCCTAAAATTTGCTTCCCAATGAGCTATTATTCTCCTCTGTAAGAAAAAATAAAATGTTTTTTATCATTCTTTGTTTTAATAGCGCTTAGCAATAGCATTTAAATTTATATGCCCTTTCATTATGCTTTACAGCCCTCTCTAAGCGGTTTACAGAGACAGCCTATTGCCCCAACAGTCCTCATTTTACCCACCTCAGAAGGATGGAAGGCTGAGTCAACCTTGAGAGAGTGAGAATTGAACTGCTAAATTCTGCAGACAGCCAGCAGTCAGCAGAAGTAGCCTGCAGTACTGCATTCTAACCACTGCGCCACTTAACTGCTCATTAAACTATACATTTTTGAATGCAAGCACATAATGTGATGTTTTATTAATCTAACTTCAGGATATCGTTTGGTTACTTTGACTTTCCCTTTGGCTTCTGTTTCATCCCACAGCTTGACCAGACTGTCTACTTGCCATTCCATTCTTTCTAGTTGTATCATTACTTAACTCACTAAGAATCTCTTGATTTACTCTTGTCTGCCTCTCCTTCTCTTCCATTTTTGGGCCTTTATGGACATGCTGGGAGCCATTTTTCCCATACCACTGGACAAATGCTATCTTTCTTCTTGCATTTTGTAAAAATCTGGTTGTAGTTTGAAGGAACAGAGAAAATGATTTACATTTTTTTTTGTATTTTTGGTTTTCCTTGTAAAGGAATAATATATATGAGTTTAATATGTAAATAAGGAAGAACATTCTGTAACAAGAACCTAATAGCTGTATTGTGATTCCTAGGATGATTTCTTTTGTGCAGTTGCATTTCTGGGTATTCCAGTGTTGTACAATGCCTAGAAGTGGTATTGACACACCTTTTGAAGCACTGCCATGAGGCTCTGGTGCTAATACAGGTGAATTGTGCACTTAGTGATACACACTTGCATTCATTACATAAGTTTTGAAATTATCACCTCCATAGTTCCTTTGAAGTTTTTTGTCTGTTGTTTTATATTGCTGATTGGAATCAGTGGTGCATGATAATGGAATTGATCTAAAATGCCTTTTTCTTGGTGCAGAAGGAAATTGAATATAGCTTGGCCATTGCCACAATAAGTCATTGCCAGAATTAAACTGACAAGGTTCCAAGACAGTGACCTTGATAAATGTACCTGCCCATAAGTTCTTGTCATCTCTTTTAGTTATATGACCGGGAGGGGGGCAACCATATCACTTCAGGTATTTCTAAATTCCAACTCAGCTGCCACTCCGGTCAGCATGCCAAAGGTAAGACATGCTGGGAGTTGTAGTATTGCACAAACTTCCCACCTCTGCTTTACTGAGATCAATAGTCTTAGCAATCATCAACCCATTGCTTGCTTTTTCATTTCAGGGAGGAGCCATTGCCATCCTCACCGCGTGTGAAAGACCAAATGACTTTTCAGGCATGGTATTAATTTCTCCTTTAGTAGTTGCAAGCCCTGATGTAGCGACACCGATCAAGGTAAAAAAAAAAAAAAAGGTGTTCATTTAATTCCAGGCACACTATCTAAATGTCAGCTAAAATCTTACTAACTTGAGATAATAGCTCTTTTCTTTCACCAGCCTAACCTCTCTATATGTGGTAGAGTGCTTTTTTTTTTTTTTAATACATGAATTTAAGGCTGTTCCTGAATGTAAAAGGGTTTCTGGTCAGTGTAAAAGCTGAAGGATTAATGAATGAAGATGCCCTTTTTCTTACAAAAATCAGAATTGCCATTTAGAGCAAGAGCCTTGCACTAACCTTTTCCATTTCCTGTAGATTTATTTTGACAAATCTCTTTTCTCAAACTGCTTTTGTTTCCCTCAGTTTCCAGATGCATGATCTCTGGCTAAGTTCCCATGCTATGCTACACCTTAATGCAGTTTGCTTAGCCTGGTGTGTGAACTCTTTGTGGTTTGTAAACCATGGTGTTTGAGTGATGAAGCCCTATGACATGTTCAGAAGGCATGGTTAAAACAATTCATAACTTAGCACAGAGTGTGCAGCTTTCTCTGGGCAGAAAGCCACTCTTAAGCTTTGAGAGATATCCCCAGGGCCGCACTCAAAAATGCAATTGGTGGGGCCAAGACAAAAAATTACTTCCACAGTTGAATGCAGTTAGTAGGATTGCTCTCCTCTCCTGTATTTAATCAGCTTCCCCTTTCAATCATATTAAAAATGCAATCTGGTAACAATTTTTGGAGGTCTCTTGGAACCACCAAGACCTCAGCTTCTGTACCAATTTTTATTGGGTTGACTAGAATGATGGATATGAGGGTTTTTTGGTGGGGGAGTTCAAATTATTTTAGCTTCACTTCTAACAGTCAGTTTTATAATTATTTTAAGCAGGTGGTGCTGATTTATTAAGTTTGGCAAGGAAAAAGTAACAACCAGCCCCACGTCTAGTCTATGGACTCATTCATGGAGCTTAGGGTCGTTTCTTATTGTGGAGAAATTTCCACCCCTTGATAGTTTATAAATAGTCATATATGCCTCATGACATTATACTATCAGCTTATCTGATATTATACAATATGATGAATCGGATCAACTAAGGAGACCTGACAAGAGTATTGTATACAGTTAGTCCTCAACTTATGACCACAATTGAGCCCAAAATGTATGTTGCTTTAGTGAGAAATTTGTTAAGTGAGTTTTGCCCCATTTTATGACTTTTTGCCCAATTTGTTAAGTGAATAATTGCATTTCTTAAATTAGTGACATGTTTGTTAAGTGAATCTGGTTTCCCCATTGACTTCGCTTGTCAAAAGGTTGCCAAAGGGGATCACATGACTCTTGGGCAATGCAACCGTCATAAATGTGAGTCAGTTGTCAGGCATCCAAATATAAATCACGTGACCATGGGCATGCTGCAGTGATGAAGTGCATTCACACATGCAGTGTGAAAAATGGTCATAAGTCACTTTTTTTCAGTGCAGCTGTAACTTCGAATGGTCACCGAATAAACTTCCATAAGTGGACGACTATCTGTGTTCCATTTCCTTCTCTCTAGACCTTTATTTATTAAACCATATGTTGCAAAAACTTGTAAAACTTTATTGGCTCAATGATTCTAATTACAGATCTCTCTTGTTAGCAACTCTTTAAAGTAGCTGAATTTTTTTCCTGAGCTCATGAAAAACCTTCTTTAAAAGGTTGCTGAAAGGAGCTACATTTTTTTACTCCTTCTTGCTCCTAATCTGAATTGTTGCCCCATAAATTATGTAGGTAGCAGCTGCAGCAGTAGCAATAGCAACAACCTGGGGGTATAGCCACGTAGTCTACTCAGCACTTTACCAAGCTTTAATGAAAACTGCTTGCGTAGGGGAGATTCGAATGAATGCAATTCAAAGCAAATGTGATAACTATTATAACTGCTTACAATTAGAGCATTAAATTAGCTGCTGATCTTGCTTATTCAAGAGGTATCTAAGAAAGGAAGGCTGGTGGGACTGAGGATTAGCAATATCTTTATCTCACAGATATGATTGGCTAAGATTTAAAAGTTGAATATTACAGAGTCTGTTTTTCAAACATTCCATTAATAAGATATGCTTGTGAGAAGGGCATCTCTCCAATATGGGTAGTTGTCATTAATTTGTGAGGTATTAACTTAATAAAGCATCCTTTCTATCAGCCTGACTCCTAATATGTTTGGATAGGGTACATTAGCAATCATAGACTAAGAATTAAACTACTTATATTCTGACAAATTCAAAAATTAATAGATAATATTTGTACATGAAAACATCAGACTATTAGGCAGGAGAGCATGTCCATTAAGCCTGAATATCCATTAAATCCAAATTTATGTCACTTATGTAATAATGCCAATTATATAATTTGTCATTTGCGTCAGTTCATGTCATTAGGCATATCATATAATGATGTAAATTCACACAAATTGTGGTAATTTAACTAAATCATCTGCACTACTTCAGGTAAAAGTTCTGTCCATTGCCTTCAAAGTCCACTAAACTGGGGTACTATAAAATGAAGTTTCACTGTACTAGGAACAAAACTCTTCATTAGCTTAAATATTCAGCAAAATGGAAGAAAAATGATTGGAGTTATTAAAGCAACAAAATCTAAGTTGCTCCATGGTGAGTTGGCCATGGTAAGTTGGCTGTGGCAAGCTGTCATAGACCCCTCTGTGTCAGCTTTGAAACTTTCGTTTCTGGGAGAACTTTTACTTTATTCTTTTATCATTAATACCATGTATTTTTTCCCACAGTAGCGATCTTTGATGCAGGAGGATCGGAGAATGTGATGAATATAATTACATTTAATGGATTCATAGAAAATCAAGGTCACAGATTTCATTTTCCAGGAAACATTACTGCATGCAGTAATGAATATGTCCTTAAAACAGGCCTAGCAAAGTATTTTCTTGGCTATCGTTGATTTTAAGTGATGACCACTTAATTAGAACGTAATCTACAGAACATAAGAGATTATTCAGCATTGGGGTCAGCTATAGAACCCTATTAGTGGAATTTTTTCAAGTATTTTCTTTTCTTCATATTTTAGTATTTAGCTCCCAGAAATTAGCTGTGCCATAGATCTCTTTAGTCAATGTGTACACATTTTTCTCTTTATTTGTATCCCTGCTACAGAATGTGTTTACCATGTTTAAAGAACTGTACTATAAATCACATAAGCTAGAATAGGGAACTAAAATACAAAGTGAATAGCAACAAGAAGGAACCCTGGCAAACAACCCTGACTTCCCTTGAAGAAGGGAAAAGCTGGCTTTCTCTCAACTTCTTTAGCCAGGATTCCTTCCTTCTTTTGTTGTCAGGAAGAAATGTAAGAGTCCTAAAGTTGGACAAAGAGGTTTTTGGAGAGTAACACCACTTGCATCAAGCTTTCCCTTATAAATAGTCCTGAGAATCTTTTCACTCTTTCTGGTACATTTGGAATAAATCCATTTGTTGGCATTCAGGAGCAGATCTTCAGCTGGAGTGCAGTAACAATGTAGTGGTTAAGCTAAAAAAAAAAAATTCTGCTACCTCAAAACTGACTTCTGTAATTCCCTTCTTGCCTTCCAAGATATTAATTATATTTTTCTCCCTCAGGTATTTGCAGCTAAAGTACTTAACTTTGTCCTGCCAAACTTGTCTTTGGGATCTATTGATCCAAATGTCATTTCCCGGAATAAGAAAGAGGTGAGAATTGTATTGCCCCTGAAATACAATGTTTTGCCTTGTGATAGTTTGGCTCTTTCCCATTCAGTATAACTAGAAGATCATAAGCGAGCAATTTGGTCTTGGTACAAATCAAAGAAAATATAACTAGAGGGAATAGAACATCCCTACAGTACAGGTAGTCCTAGACTTAGGACCACAATTGAGCCCAAAATAAATTTATGTTGCTAACTGAGACATTTGTTAAGTGAGCTTTATCCCATTTTATGACCTTGCCACAGTTGTTAATTTAATCACTGCAACTGTTAAATTAGTAACCTGGTTATTAAGTAAATCTGGTATCCCCATTGACTTTGCTTATCAGAAGGTTGCAAAAAGTGACCCCATGACCCCAGGACACCGCATATAATCATAAATATGAACCAGTTGCCAAGTATCTGATCTATGATTGTGTGACTACGGATTGTACATGAAAAAAACCTCATAGGTCCCTTTTTTCAGTGTTGCTGTAACTTTGAATGGTCACCAACAAATGTTGGTAAGTTGAGGACTACCTGTATTATACTGAGACTGAAATGGCCTCCTATCCAGATATTTTTATCAGCAGTCTAAAGTAGGGAAGAGAAATCACAGAAAGGATTGTCTGTACTGGTTGATGGATTTGTGTCAGATCTGTGAGGTACATCTGATTCTTTCAGTCTGCGTGACCTTCCAGCTTTCATTTATGCTAGAGATAAGTGTTTTGATGAAAATGGACAAAAAGCATAAGATGAATCATTGCAACAATAATATTTTTGCCATGACTGTTTTAAAGGAAGAAAAGATACGTGTTTAGCTTGCTGTAGAAACATTACAATACATTTAAATGATTTAGGTCTCTATGACACAAGTGAGTATGTGATTTGCAGGTGTTAATTTATCCTTACATTTTCATTTATTTATCAGTCTTGTATGCTGCTGCAAATACCAGAGTCTCAGTAGCTAACCAAGTATAAAAATATATGCAGGTTTTAAAAATGCCACTTTGTCAGTAGTCATGAAGTATAGTGAATACATACCCCCGTTGGCCATTTTTATCTTTTTTTTTTTAAATTATTCTACTGACTAGGTAAGTCCTGTTAAAGATTAATGTATGTTGATTAAAGTTTGTTGTTGGTAATGTTGAGAGGAAGTGTGACATCCATATAGAAACAGAATACCAGCAATGCATAATAATAAAATGCTCAAACATGTTCAGCCTATTATGTTTAGTACATGTTTAACATGAAGGTCAAAACATTAGTTTCAGGAAGATAAGTTAAAGGATTTTTGGGAACGATAATATCAAACATTTAGTTGCATCAATAAATCTGTCTTGGCCCACTAGACAATGGTCTGTTGATGTGGAATAAAAAGAAGGCAGGAACATTTCTGCCTCCCAACAAATTACCTGAAGGACAGAGAACAGTGATGCATGTAGCAGAAATTAATCATCTCTGCAATATAAGATACTACAGTCATAAGTATCTAGGAATTCAGAAACAATGTCATGACTGCTATTTATTCTCAGGATCAGTGAAAAGTAGAGATTTAATAGAAATCAGTCCTCTGTTTTACTGTTATTATTATCTTAGTCTTTCACAGTAGCTACTATGAGATTGAATGACTGCACAGATATGCAGTTCTCAATTCTCAACTACAGAAGCTGGTTGACTTTGTCTAGCCACTCTTTCAGCCCAATCTACTTCACAGGGTAGTTATTAAGAAGAGGAAGTTTGTGTCCACCAACTGATGCTTCTGAATGAAAAGCAGAAGATTGACTGATTGATCAATCAATCAATTAAATAATATGACTCACATAATGACAAATTCTGCCTTTACATTCCACATCTGGTGGAAGAATATCAGTTGTTGGGTTTGCATTATGATACACCTTTTCTCATCAGGTCCTCTCGGTTTGCTTTACTCCTGAGGACATCTTCATATTGCCAGACTCAGTGCCTTCAGAATATTAGGGAAGTTGTCCAATGAGCCTAATGATGTTCCCTTTATATAAAAATATGTATTTTTTCTATGCTATTATGAAAAATTAGATAAACTGGCATGCCAAAATGTCTGAGAAATTATATGTGCAAAGCTGAATGATGTAGTAAAACGGTTCTGGATGCATCTTTTAAGCAGATTAGTAAATGAACTGCTGTATTATGTATCTAGTAGACATTCACCTTGAGATACCTTCCTAATATAGGGCAGCTTTTCAGACACTTAAGAACCTAAAGTTTGACCTGGGTTGTAATGCCATGTTATTTTATCTGCTACTTTTAGCTTTCGTCTAAAAAGCAATATGTAAAAGATCTGCAGTTTGGCAGAAATAAGTCTCTAGCTTCATAATATCACCCACATTCAATATTGCAGAATACAAGTTCAGATTGTGCTGGGAACAGCCACTATTTACATGTTGAATATATTCACCAGGCAGACCAATTTCTAGTCTCTATAAATATCATTGGGATAGTCTCCAAGAATTTCCTGATTTGTTTGTGTTCATAGCAGTTTGGTTTTTAAAGCACAAACTGAAATGTAGAAAGATTTGAGACATTTTAGGTTTTTTCCCCCTTCTGGTTAGGTTAGTTAAATCAGATGCATAATTCCAAATCTCAATTCTTTTGTTATGTGCTGGAGAAGTGTTCACAAACCTGGTGTCCTCCAGAATTCTACTAATGAGATTCAAATGAGATCGAACTCCTTAGAATTGAGGTGTGAAACATCAGGATGACAGTAGATCCCCAAAATAGGCAATATAAAAGATAAGGCAGCATTGCTGTTCAGCACAATTATTTTCGGTCTTGCTTGCCTTTGGGAGAGATCTCCTCTGTTGTAGTTTCAATTGTACCCTGAAGATTGTGATCATATTTCTATTTGAATCAAGATGGTTAAATGGACTTGCATTGTGACTACAATACATGTGGGCATTCTGAATCAAGCTTTCTTCCCCACACTGATGGGCTTTTCTTAGCTGGAAAAATATATGAAAACCTCCATTAGTAAATTTGAAGATTGGGAACTGCCAAGATATAGTTCCTACACTGTGAATATAAGGTGGAATAATTTAGGACATTATAATTGGCTTTTTATAACACAGCAACCCATATTATTATGTCCAAGCTTTAACCCAGTCACAATGATGTAGAATAGGCACCATATGCATAACAATCACATAGGAATAGCTAAGATGGTACTCTAAGAAGAGTTTCATTTGTTTTCTTTTGTTCAGAGTATACAGACAATTGAATATTATTAATAATATATTTATATGTGTATTTCTACAATCAAAAATATAAAAATTCTATAATACCAAATAATGTCCAGTACAGTTGGAAATAAACTCTATGAAAACATAGACAAGTTATCATGACACCAAAGATTATCAAAATCATGGTAAAGACCTTGTCTCTGGATGGCTGACAAAATAAATAAATAAAATAAACAGAAAAAAAACAACAGTAAGAAAAATAAATAAAACACAAATTAAAGCTATTAAAAACAAATGTAAAATATGGGAGTGTATCATTCAACAATTTATATAATCATTTCACCTGTTCCATACCTTCATAGGTTTGCCATGCAGATACAGAGTCACTATAAAAAGCTAATGCTACATTAGCAGTTTTTAATTCAAGACAACTCATAATCTACATCAGTGAAGTCCAAACGACACAAGTGATTTGGATTTGCAGGGCAAATATGGTCTGATGTTACTGAGGAGTATCAGATTGAAAAAGCTTTATTAGCTCGAAAGTGATAATAGGACCTAAAATGGAATCTTAGAAATTTCCAAAACAAAATTTGAAAAGATAATATGAAAAGAAATTAATAAAATGTATGGAAGATATTTTAAAGACTGAATGGAACACAACTATTTCCATATACATGCTTTTTCACAATGGTCATACTAAGCTTGAAGCAGTAATTTGTAAATATATGCTGAAGGCAGAAACCTATACATTAGAAATCTTCAAACAACTATGATTGTGATAAATAATGGGATAAAGCTAGTCTTCATTTAGCAACTACCTCACTGAGCAAACTTTTACAAATATGGCGTTAACATTTTTTTCTGACCAGCGTGTGCATTTACAACCAAATTTCAGGCACTTGGTAACACGAGCCTTCAGTGAAACTAATTTGAGATAATGAAAGCTACACTTTCAGGTAGCAGCACAGCCTGATGTAAGGTTCTAATGAACTAATTAAGGACATAGAGCTGAGCTTGTTAACTTGCGGTTAGCATTTTTTTAAGGGAAAGGCTGCACTGCAGAGACATGCAGCTCAGGAAGAGATAGCTTGCTTAAGCAATCTCTTTGCCCTGTGAAGAGGGAAGGGCTGGGTGAGGTACAGGACTCTGTCCAAGAGAACTTTTATCTAAATGAGAAGGCAGAACCATGATCCTCCCAGCCTGTCTCTTGAAAGTCACACATTCATTTAGCAATCATTTGGTTTCTTGTTCAAAGGAGAGGGTGTAATGCATATGAGCTTAAAGGGAACATTGATGTGTTTCATAAATGGTAAAAATCATTAATGTTTCCAGGTCAAGAAGCAGAATTATTATTAGCATTACAGTTATTGTATCGAAATGGGAACAAAAACGAGGCGCCTGCCAGATTGTAACAAGGAGTCATATATCTGTTTGCTGTCACCTAGCGGTAGCCCAGATTTTTATAAGTGAGATATAGCAATTCTATAATTGGCAAAGTAATCAAAAACAAAGTATGATAATACCATAGCAGTGAAACCGCACCAATCATGTATGCTTTTCTGGAATTAAACTTGGTGTAATTACCCAAAATAGAATCCAGGTAACAAAGTTTAACTGCAGATTTTCATTATAGTACAGTTCTCATTATCTCATTCTTAAGTATAAATGTCGGTGGTAAATAATAGCAAATAATTACAGGTAATCTTTTGTTTAGCTACCACAATTGGGACCAGCAACTCAGCCATTAAGAGAAGTGGTCACTAAGTGAAACCATGCTTGTGCTTGTGAAACCATGCTTTAGCTTTGCTTTTCAGACCTGTGAAGTTCATAAATGTGAGGCTTAGTTGCAAAGTTACTTTTTGTTCACTATCTCTGTATGAGGTTGCAGATTGATTGCAGTCCCTGTACAGGGCACTTCACTGTACAGAGCCTATACAGTGAATAGATTTTAGGTTACACATAGGTGTAGTATTCAACACTTCTGATCAGAAACACTTAAGGACCTTCTGTACACAAAGCATGGATATAACTATTAAGTTATTCCGTTCTTCTCAATATCCTGCCTTTAAAGGTGGTTGGATGAAGAGAGAATCTGTGGTTTTGAGTTTTGTTTTGGTTTTTTAAGTTATAAAAACTTCAAGGAAAAATCTGGACTATGTTGATAGTATGCAAAACTGGCCAAATGATGCTTAGAGAAATTAATTAATGCAGATGGAATACTGGAAAAGAAGAAATGTAATAAAAAAGAAAGATTCTTGGCTTGTCCTTTCTTGCCTTTTTGCATCCCTCATTAAAATCATCATCATCTTTCACAGCCTTTCTCCAGAAGGTCTCCATTTGCAACACCTCAAATATGTTCATATTTATATTAAATCATAGTTTAAAAACCAAGTGTAATCTCTAGCTATTTTTCTTCTGTTCTTTCACTGCATTCCTTGCTTGGACAATCATGTAATGTCACATACTTGGATCACATCTGTTGAATCTCTTGTATTTCTAGGAGTTTTTAAAATATCAGTATAAAATAGAGTTAGAGGTCAAGAACAAACAAAAAAAGCCCACCTCCCAGCATTTGTGGCTTTGTACTGGGGTGGCGAAGGGAGTATGTCATACCAGTTTATATCATTTTACTCTGTGGGAAGGGAACATCTGCCAATTCAACCACCCACTCCTTTGTGGGGTTTTTTTTTTCTTTCAAGAGTGCTTAAAATTGCTGCTTTTTAGTAAGTGAAACAGCTTGGAGCTATGTTGCCTCTGTGTGAGATTGCTGTGGCACAGCACCAAACAACTGGGCAGTTTTTAGGGTAGAGTTAGTTGCTAAGTAGCCAGAAGAACCCAGCACTTTTGTTTAAATTGGGGGTGGGGTGGGGGAAGGCAAATGGATTTGAGTGAAAATGTCAGGGCTGCTATGAAAAATGTCAGGCTGCAAAAAAAGAATTTGCACTTTTTCTGGTAGCATAATTTTCTCCCTTGCCTCTTCCCTGACTGCCTGTGTGCAAAATAAAATCCTTCTAAACCAAATTTCTTCCCTTCCTCATCATTCCTGGAGTTAAAGTCTACAAGTCATAAAAGGGCCATCGTTCCTCACCGCTGCTCTAGAGAATCCGTTTCCCTTCTTCCACTTGACAGTGGACACTAGTCTTTTGGCCATTCACAGTAGTTTGTGTATTATGAATTGCTTTGACATAGTTTTTTTGTCAGACACTGCCATACATTTGAAATAAGATTGAAAATTAACTTTTAAATCTGAGTTCAAAGGGGAAGGGCAACCTAATCAAATGTTAAAGGGTATGTGACTATTAAAATGTATCCTCTTTAAAAACATCTCTTCTAAAATGGCATAGAAAATGCTTATCAGAAGTTGATTATTTGCTGGCTAAAATGTCTGAAATGTTATTTTACTCCCAACAGGTTGAAAATTACCGTTCAGACCCTCTGGTCTATCATGGTGGCATGAAAGTCTCCTTCGTCATTCAGCTACTGAATGCTATTGCCAAAATTGAACGCTCTCTCCCTAAACTGTTTCTCCCCATCTTGGCGCTCCATGGTTCACCGGACAAACTCTGTGACATCAGAGGATCTTACTTATTGATGGATACTGCCCCAAGTCAGGATAAAACATTCAAGGTTAACTTATTTAATTTTTGCAGGATCAAACAGTTACTGTTTCTAAAGTTGTGCTCTATTCAGTGATTCAGATGTATTGGTCTAAGTAGATATTTTACAAATCTATCTATCTATCTATCTATCTATCTATCTATCTATCTATCTATCTATCTATCTCTATCTATCTATCTATCTATCTATCTATCTATCTATCTATCTATCTAT